TGGTTGGAGAAAGAATAAGAGCATGAGGTAATGGTGAGGATCTGGTGGAGGAGGAAAGCGAAACGTGTCACACCCTATTTCCCAAAATACTAGGGAATCGGAATGCGAACAAGCCCGCAACGTATCAGACTAAGGAGAAAAAAGTACTAGACCATTTCTACTCAATCTAATAAGCTAAGCGTCAAGTAATACAATACGAAGTCACAGGTCCCCGGTCGTAGTTAGCAAGAATATAATGAACAACTTAGAACAAAATGATACATAATACAAATGAAATATCATCCAAGACATAATAGTCGAGTCATACATACCATAATACAAAACTATCCAACTAAAATACTGGAGAAGATATAAAAATACATCGACCCAACGGAAATGGAGAGTGCTACAAAAGTAAACTAAGGACCATCAAATAACTAAGGAAATAACTAAGCTTCAGCTTGTTCTTTTGCTCTGTCTGCAAGGCACTCTTGCTGAGAATACTCTGGCTCTTACACATCTCCAAGTTGAACATGTCCATCCTCTAAATCTGACGTACAACCTGAGAGAATATGAGTATGTCAGTGTGCATAGCACCCAGCAAGATCCCACAAGAATAATAGAAACGGTCTAACGACCAATGTAATAACAGTAATAGCAATAGAAGCATGGCACTAGAATTCTAATAATCTAAATGCAATCCACCACTAGAATATAATAATCAGAAGAATTCAAAAATCAACCAAGTAACGAGGTCAAGCAGCTAGCCATCCTATAATAGATCATTGGTCCACATCTCACATAGAGTCAACATTCATATTCTCAGATAACTGACTGTTCACAAATTCTCTACGTGCATCCAAACCCGTGAAACAGTTCAATGAGAGGACTACATGGAATCCAATTTTGGCCTGATCCGAACTCAAGCAAAACTCGGATGACGAAATAATTTCACTGACCAAGTGAAAAACGATTCACTTGGCCTAAGAAAACCAACCCCAGTGCGAAACGGTTCACTGGTACGAGTCTGGAAGATATATCAATAGCCACATCCGATCACATGAACCAAGACTTTCCCATCTCAACTCTTCTTGTTTTTCTTAAGTCAACACAACACATGTCTCTAGGTCTTGTACATGACATGCAAGGCCACTAAGGTTATGAACTACTATTGATTCTTAATTACAACAAGAAATAATAGATGCAATTAATCATGTGCAATAATATCATGGCATATCACATAATTAAATGTAAGAACTATAATCATAAACAACAACTATGAACAATACGATGTGTGTGAATGGTAGCTATGAGCAGTAACTTTAATATACATATGCATGCAGACCGATTTCATCAATATTTTACTATTCAGATCTCTAAACTTCTCATAAAATTATTCTAAAATAATCTTTTATAATAATAAATTTATTTATTTAAAAATAATCCTTTTGCAAAATAAATTCTTTTAATTTATTATAATTATTCTAAAATAGTCTTTAAAATATTTTTTTCTTGAAAATAATTCTTATCCTTACAGTATACTATTTATGATATTATTATTATTTAATATCATTCATCAACAAACCCATGCAGATTATCACAATATACCCTACAACAAAATCATATTACGGCCTGATTATGCACATAATTAATTCACAACAGATCTAAAAATTGTAATGACAAGTCAATGAGAAAAGGATCTTGCATCGAGGGTGTCGTAGAGGGGCAGTGGGGGTCGTTGGGGTGGCTGCGCGGTTCACAATGTGTTTCGCGGGCTCGTCGGAAGGTCAATTGGTTAGAATACAAAAGAGAGGTGTTAGTAATGATGAGCTATATTCAAAGCGATATAACGAGAGGTAGACAATGAGATGTAAAACCCCAAAAATTTATGATATATATATATATATATATATATATATAAATTAATATGTGATTAATTATGATATATGGATTTTTATTTTGATAAATACAGTTAAATGGTATGTGAGTAGTATACCATGTGTTTTGAGTATAAACAAGTTCATTCGTGAGGAAGATGTAGGCTGTCTAAAAATCACAATAGATAGCTTATCCCTCATCAAACACCGATAATGGAAGTTACAATCTGACGACTTCCAGAAGGCTACAACTTGAAGACTTTCACGTAGATCGCTGAAGGTTACAATTTGACGACCTTCACGACAACCGATGAGAGCTCTAGTTCAACAGTCTTCACAATCAACATCGGGAGTTACAATCTGACGACTCTCATATTCTCAAGGAGCCAAGACGAAGATTACAAGACAATGATCTTTGCAATGCTATGACAAAAGAGATTACTTGGTGATAATCTCTTCAAGACAAGACGCGGAGGTCCTCCCCGTGTGTCAACAGTAAAACGCGAGGGTCGAACCCGCGTATCAACACCAAAACGCGGAGGTCCTCCCCGTGTGTCAACAGTAAAACGCTAGGGTCGAACCCGCGTTACAACATCAAAACGTCAGGGTCGAACCCGCGTTACAACATCAAAACGCTAGGGTCGAACCCGTGTGATAACATCAAAACGTCATGGTCGAACCCGCGTTACAACAAGAGAAACGTGAGCGAGACTCGCGTTCTGGATGTTCAGTCAACACCCAACCTCGCGTCTCAATCCTAAGACGCGAGGTTAGGGTCCTGAACGCCAGGTTGGGTGTTTGACTCATTCAAATATGAGTCGAACGGTTTTAACATTATTTTCCCCACGATCTGAGGAAATCACACCCACTCAGGAGCGGATTAAGGGGGCAGTTACCACCCTTAATCCCCTATAAAAGCGAGTAAACTCAACTGAGTTAAGGGTTTGATTTTTCTTGGCTTGAATCGACCATTGAAGGCTGGCTTTTTGGAGCTGAGAATTGGCAGCAACAGGAGAGATCATTGGGCGAACTTCGGAGGAGATCGGCATCATCCTTCAAGGAAGATCATCTTCAACGTTCGGCAACAGGAGCTTCCTCATCCTTGGCTATTAACCGATTTTCGGTTTAAATCAACTCTTTTTCAAGAGTTAAAACTCGTTCAGAGTTATCAACTCGTTCAGAGTTCTAAAACTTGCCACGCAAGTTCTCCACAACGTCAAATCGTGAGGAGAAGACACCGTTCCAGTGAATCAAGACGTGCGGATCGTCAACGGAGAGCAAACTCGACGCGAGCATTCGAGGGAGGCACTCCATCGCCACCGTGAAGAACCCAGTTTTAAACAAAGGGGAGAATCAAATTCATTCTCCTCTCTTTTGTAATCGAATTGTAACCGGAATCAAAGGAATCAAAGTCAAATTTCTTTTCTTCTCTTTACTGCAATTTTCCAACCTACAAAAGATGGCGACTCCGCTGGGGACAAGCTTCTGTAACGAAGAAGTGGTGGTGCAATCCGATGTTCATCTAACTGGAACAACCGTCGAAACTCTCGTGGTAGAGTTTGTTCAAGCCAAGTTTGAGGAGGCCATCTCCTCCGGATCCCTTAGCCCCAAAACTATGCGCAAGATCCGCAAAATCTTCAAGGAGACTAAAGCTCCAAATGTTGCTCCTA